TCGGAGCCTGTTGTTTTGAACCCCTGGTGAGAAGTTCCTCTGCAGTGCGACACAAACAGCTGATGTGACGACAGCTTCACACTGTGTGAGGCAGGTTTCACTAAACACACGTTCACTGGTTAAATCCACAGAAACTGGTTTTCACCTCCGTCTACAGCATCTTCCAGTCTCAACACCTGAAAACATCTGTCTGCAGCTGGACGAAGCAAAACCAGAGACTCACAACAGGAGCACAAGTTCCAAAACCACCACAAAGGGATGCAAAATGGCAGCAGAGACACGACTAACCTACAAAGACACAAAACAACCACAAGGAAATTCAAAATAGCAGTGACGACACGATTCAACAACTGAGACACAAAATAACTGTTCAATTCTTCACAAACAGATGAAAAACAACCACGGAAGGGAATCACAACGGCTGCAGGTTCCAAAATGATCAAAGATGCAACGTTAATACGAACGAACACAAAACATGTAAAGTTAAACAAGAAGCACAAGGAGAAGCAGAAAGACGCAATGAAACAATGAAGAGAAGAGACAACAACCAGTCGGACATTCAGAGGGACCGCAGGGAGGCAAACTTCAGGACAACGACCACACTGAGACTCAACGTGGACATAAAGACACGGAACATTTCCACAGAGACACATTTAGTGACGTCTCTTACTGAGTCTGAGAGTCTGAGAGTTCTGCTTCACCTCTAAAACTTCATTGTGGGGGTGTGGGGGGGCGGGGGGGTCACCCAGGGGCCCGTCATTATCTGTCCATGTTCTCGCTGCTCGACACGAGAACGTGAATCTGGATAAAACCAGAGTCGACAGATTCCAGAGCTGATCATGACACAAACACACATCATCAACACGTCTGTGTTCTCTGTCCTGTGTCACACGTCTCAGGTGGAAGACGACTGAAGAGACACGTCGCTCCGAACTAAGACAAGTTCCTTCTCTCTTTCGTCTCCATGTGGGGACATTTAAACCGTTTCTGTCCTCCAGAGCTCAGACTGAGCAGAGCGAGCTGAAGGCAGGCGGCAGTAAAGAGGTCAGAGGTCACAGCACACGGACAACAGTGATTAGTGAGACGTTGAAACTCCGACTCAAAGAAAACATCCAAAAAAAGACAAAACCGACAGTTGATGCACAGAAATATGTCAGACTTTTATTTTGAAGGAACATTAAATAAAAAGTTTTGAATATGAAATGACCACGAGGAGGAGAGAAGAGCAAACACAACAAGAATCCAGTTTTTCTTATTATTCTGGGAAATGTATTTATTTAACTTTTTTACTTTAACGTTTTTCTGAATCAGTTTTCTGTTTCTGTTTATTTAATTCTA